CAGTTTCCATCTTGCCATCTTGTGCCGCCGGCCCATCCGGGATGACGCTCTTAACCTGGAGAAATTCGTCGGGCTCGTCCCCACCGATGATGGTAAACCCGAAGCCCATATTGCTTTTCTTCAGAGTTGTGCTGAGGAAGTTCCCTTTCAGCTGCGAGGCATCCCGGGTGAAGAGGGGTTTCTCTACATGGGTTCAACACAAAGGCAGAGACATGAGATGCTTGGGCTGCCCCGGGGTTGCGCACTCGCGCGCCACATAGACACACACGGACGAAAGAGCTGGGTTTTCGCGTAGTGCAGCAAAAGCAGCAGCAAAGAACAAAGTGGCGCTTGTACAAGTCGAAGCAAAGTAAAAAGTGCAAGCATTTTTTTGAGAGAACCAAGAATATTAGTGAGCTGTTATTATTATTTTTTTCTACGTCAAGCTAAAACCAGCAAGGGAAGGATCCGTTTGTCTAAAGCAGCCTCCCTTTTGGACTCTTCACAAATTCTCTGTTTATTCAGAGCTGGGACTTTTGGAAAAAGTGAAGAATTGTCACGAGCGGGTGAGGCAGATTGTTACTTCTCAATTTAATCAAACTAGCTTTGCAAAACAATTGGAATACGGGCTTCTCAATCACACAGAGTGGGGGGGGGAAGGAAGGGGGGTGGTGTAAAAACCGCATGCAGACGTTGAGATTGTTGTGTTTTCACCTCCCCAAGTGTGAGTTTTAGTCTCTGGCCAGTTCAATTCATCCAGAATCCACTGTCACAGTGGATCCCTTGAAAACGCGGCAAACGGTTAAGCCTCGGCTGAGAAACCCTGGATCAGATCACGGGAAGTGGTGGAAAAATAAAAGCTCGGTGTTCTTTTTTAATTTTTTTTTCCCGGGTTGGGGAGGGGGAAGAAAGAATTCAACACACTACTTTTGATAAAAGTGCAGCCCAGGTAAACAGCAGCACTCGGACGTACCATACAGCCTGTACATTCCAGCAATGTCCCGCCGATATTGAGATAGGTCGCTCACACTACGAGACCTCTTAGGAGCAAGGCGCGGGTGAACGAGTTTGGGCCTAGGTAAGGTTGATGAGGCGTTGTCTACTAATATAAAGGAGAAGAAGCCTCATTCTTTGCATAGAGTCTTAGGTCAATACTTCAGCCCTGCACCAATACAGACTGTCAAATCACCCTGTTCCATTGCGTGCATTAACCTAGTCATCGCCAACATATGCATTCTTCATTTTTTCCCCGCCAAACAGAGCATCACGTCATCTCACGCAGGCTGGCAAGACAAGATAAAGTCCTGCGAGAAAGTCTCTCTCAACTCAATCTGAAAGTGTGTAGTTAAAAAAATAAAATAAAAGAGTTCCCTGAATGGAGCTCAACTCCTGGTCGATACACGTTCACCCCAATGTTTGCGTCCATGGCTCATTGCCTTCTTACTGTAGTTCATCGTTCGCTCTACTTTGATGGCTTCCCACTTAAATGCCAAGCAGATCTGAGTCTCCTTAGCTTTTTCATCCACTGCTACCATGGTCCATTTACTGTGGAATTAACCCATGGAAAAATTCTTCCAGTAGACTCTACATGTATCTCTAGAGCCGTGGTGGTGCAGTGGTTAGAATGCAGCATTGCAGGCTAATTCTGCCTACAGCCTGGAGTTCGATCCTGACCAGCTCAAGGTGGATTCAGCCTTCCATCCTTCCGAGGACAATAAAATGAGGACATAGATTGTTGGGGGCAATATGCTGAAGTTGTAAACTGCTCAGAGGGGGCTAGAAAGCACTATGGAGCGGTATATAAATCTAAGTGCTAGTGCGGTTGCTATTATCTCTGCAGCTCTTTTCAGATAACCAAGGCCAGGTAAATGGGTGTGCCTTTTACCAAAGTGCCATGTGGTTGCTAAGATCTGTACAGATCAAACATTTGATCAGAACTGGGACAAGGGGTAAAAGAAGGGGAAAAAACCCACCCTTTTTTCTTAGGTCCACTAAAATAGAGGTCCCCAACCTTTTGGGCACCAGGGACTGGTTACGTGGCTAAAGGTTTTTCTGCGGAGCGGAGGGGACGTGGTTTTCTGTGCTGCCTGCATCCTGCAGATGCGGCTTTGTTTGTTTGTGCGGACCGGTTGCTGGCATGTCGTGGCCCAGTACTGGTCCACGGACTGGGGGTTGGGGACCCCTGCTCTAAAACAAATAAATAAACATCCTTAAGGCTGCTCTTGGTCCTTAAATCAGGGTCCCTCCTGTGGATGACTGGATTTTGGAAAGAATGAATGAACCCCCTTTTTCATGTGTCAGTCTTGGTCCTTCTTTATCTCATCCTCCATGGTTGCCAGTAAAAGAAAAGAGAACGTACATAATTTAATATCAGTTGCGTACGGAGGAGAACAGGACCCAAAGAATCAATTGAGATCATCCAAGATCCTTGGTGGCGCAGTGGTTAGAATGCAGCATTGCAGGCTAATTCTGCCCAATGCCAGCAGTTCGATTCTCACCGGCTCATGGTTGACTCACCCTTCTATCCTTCCGAGGTCAGTAAAATGAGGACCCAGACTGCTGGGGGCCCATATGCTGACTCTGTAAACCGCTTAGAAAGGGCTGTAAAGCACTATGAAGCGGTATATAAGTGCTATTGCTATCTACCCACTGGAAGTCACTCTCTCCCACTTATTTGCTAAAAAAGACAGTGGAGTTTTGGTGAACTACATTTTGTGATTTTTGCTTCCAAAGATGGCTTGTGCTCCCCTTGGAACTCAACCATCCTTCTCTAGTTGCATCCGGATGACCCTCTTACAATTATTTTGAGTTAGATCTTTCTGCTTCTGCCTAGAAAACCAAATCTTACAGCCAGTTATAGCTTTGTTTTTAAATAGACTGGAGAAGATTTTTTCCCCCCCACGTTAAGCTAGAAAAGGCTTACCACGGCGACATTTAAGAAAAAACTATTTAAACCTGCACTTCTACTCCATTCCTACTGGTTTGGGAATTTTAGGAACTGTGTTCGTTAGCCCAAAATCTTTCAATCTTTTTGGGGAGGGGAAAAAAAAAGAGAGGTTTCCTATATTCACATATTCAAAACACCGTTACAGATATCACACAAAACTTCATGGAGTTGGTCCCGTCTGGCATGTGTACACTGAGGTGATGGTGTACCTCTGAAACTCTGGGCTGGCATAGCCTTGATTCCAAGTTCTGCGTTGGGCATGGTACGCTGTTGTAACTTCCTTTTGGCTTCCAAAACAGGATTTTCAAATTGGGTCCTCCTATTTATGTGGCTGAAAATATAAAGAAACCCATGGTCAACTGGAGTGATCCCTTTTCAAGAACTGCCTCATGAAACCTGGATTGATCGGATCTCAAGGAGAAGACCCTACTTTTTAGGCCAATTAAAGGAGGGGTGATGTCATTGACGCAAAGGCTGAGCAAGATCTGCTCGTGTCTGTCATGACATCGTGACCCAAACGACAGAAATGAGTTTACCTCACAGGGTTGCCCCTTTTACGCCTTAACTGTGTGTCGGAAGGAATTACGTGTCAATTATGTGTAAGGAGCTTTGCCTTCAAAGGCAAGAAAAAGAGCTCAGATATCGGGGCGAAAGGCCAGGTTCATGTGTGAAGGTTCCATTAAAGTGCTTCATTGCTGAAAGCCTATGTACAGGAATCTGCTCAGCTAAGGGCTAGCAATTGATGGGAGTTAGATAAGGATCAACAGAATCCAAGGGGGATTGCACTTAGTTCATTGGCGGCTACATAAGGATTCTAGGCTGATGCCTCTTGTAACTCCACCCCAGGTTTTGCCATCCCTTCTCCTACATATGGAGCATCAACAGCTCAAGTGTGGAAATGCAAGTTGCAGGATGGAGACCTCAAGTAAACCTCAGAGAAGACTACAACGGAGTGGCAAAAAAAAAAAAAAAAAAGACTATGGAGAAGACAACTGCTGTTGCTATCCAGTAGGCATCTGGCAGCTTTTACAGAAGCTGTTGCATACTTAGCTTGTTTAGAAATAGGCCAACAACAAATACACACAAACACAAGGTGCCTAGTTGCCTCCCCAAAGTTCTCAAGACTTGCTTAGTCACCTATCAGTGAGGGAAAGACTTGGTACCAATAACAGATCAGCTCTTTAATTTTTTTTTTTAAAAAAATGAAAACTAAAATATTGGAAATAACAATCGGGCTGTAATCCCAGGGAAAACTGGTAGTCCTCAATTTACAACAGTTCATTTAGTGACCGTTCAAAGTTACAAGGGCAGCGATAAAAGTGACTTGTGACTGTTTTTCACACTTATGGCCTTCGTAGTACTGCCCCCCCCATGATCACGTGATCAAAATTCAGATGCTTGGCAACTGACTCATACTTATGACCGTTGGTGTGTCCCAAGGCCTTCTGACAAGCAAAGTCAATGGGGAAGCCAGCTTCACTTAATAACCGGGTTACTAACTTATCAACTACGGTGATTCATTTAACAACTGAGGCAAGGAATGTTGTAAAATGGGGGCAAAACTTACTGGACAAACGTTTCACTTAATAACAGAACTTTTGGGCTCAATGGTGGCCATGCGTTGAGGACTACTAGCATTACATTTTGTTTGCTACCAGGAATGGCTTTTACCTCAATCTTTCCTTTGGAAATATTTTTTTATCCAATTTCAAAGAGCAAAATAAATCAATAAATTTAATGCTGAGGCGTTTGCGCTCGGTACAGAATTTTAGACAACACACAGATTGTGGCTTTGGAAAAATCCGGGTAATATCCACAAACTGCAGACACCCCCCCCCCCAAAAAAGAGGCAGATTAATAGAAAACCATAGCCAAACACAAAATATGTCTTTTCCAAATCTCTCTACCCATTGTCATCGTCTGTTCCCGTGCCCAACATCTGTCTAATATTTCTGAAGATTTTATGCTTTGCTTGTATTCTGAATCTCGAAAAGATTTTTTTAACCTTCTATTTTTCACCCCTTGCATAGAAATAAAATAGGATTCCAAGAGGGATCTTGGACAGTGGTGGGATTCAGCTGGTTCGTACCACTTCAACAGAACCGGTAGCTAATTTTTTGTTGCCCAGGCCCAGAATGGACTTCCGGAAGTGGCATCCACACACAGAACCGTTTGTCCACATATTTGAATCCCACCACTGATCTTGGAGTCCTAGTGGACAATCACTTAAATATAAGCCAGCCGTGTGTGGCAGCAGCCAAAAAAGTCAATGCAGTCCTAGGCTGCATTAACAGAGGGATAGAATCAAGATCACATCCAGTTTTAGTACTGCTTTACAAAGCCTTTGTAAGACCACACTTGGAATACTGCATCCAGTTCTGTTCAGCACAATTTTTATTAAAAAGATGTTGAGGCTCTGGAAAGAGTACAGAGAAGAACAACAAAAATGATTAGGGGGGCTGGAGGCGAAAACATACAAAGAATTGGGTATATCTAGTCCAGGGGTAGGCAACCTTGGCTCTTTTATGACTCGTGGACTTCAACTCCAAGAATTCCTGAGCCAGCCATGCTGAGGGGAAAGGGAGAGGTTTCCAAGCTGAGCCATGTTGGCTCAGGAATTCTGGGAGTTGAAGTCCAGGAGTCATAAAGCGGCCTAGGGCAGGGGTAGGCAACCTTGGCTCTTTTATGATTTGTGGACTTCAACTCCCAGAATTCCTGAGCCAGCATGGCTCAGCTTGGAAACCTCTCCCTTTCCCCTCAGCATGGCTGGCTCAGGAATTCTGGGAGTTGAAGTCCATGAGTCATATCCCTGATCTAGTCGAATGAAAAGAAGGGCTAGGGGAGACATGATAGCAGTGTTCCAATATCTGAGAGGTTCCTACAAAGATGGGTGGTGGTGGTGGTGTGTCAAACTAATTTTCAAAGCACCTGAAGACAGAACGAGAAACAATGGATGGAAACTAATGAAGAAGAGGAGCAATCTAGAACGAAGGAGACATTTCCTAATGGTGAGAGCAATCAACCAATGCAGTAGCTCGTCTCCAGAAGTTGTCTATGCTCCAACACTAGTATGGGGCATCCTCCTTGAGCAATGGGGTTGGACTAGAAGATCTCCACCTTCCCTTCCAATAATATTCTATGTCTCAAAGGTGCTTTTTCACAAGGCAGCTGGACTTTTTTCTTTTTCCTTTGAAGGCATTTCGCTTCTCATCCAAGAAGCTTCTTCAGCTCTGCTGAAGAAGTGAGTTTTGCTCCCTTTAATGAGCTGAAGAAGCTTCGTGGATGAGAAGCGAAACGTCTTCAAAGAAAAACAGGACAGTCCAGTTTCAGTCCACCTTTGAGACAACCGTGACCTGGACGACTGAGAATCTCCGTAGACATCTATTATCCTATGTTCTATGATTAATCCTTTGGATTACAACCTAATACTAGTCTATTCCTTACATTGAAGCATTTCTTCCTTTTTTTTTTGTACAGACAAAGCATCTGCATCAATGAATCGAGATCTTTTCCTCCACGCACATTACTTTTCTGCTGGCTGTCTCATAGCGCTTTCCATCTGCCTTCCTTGCATCAATGAGTTGCAGCTACTATCTGCTCAGAACGTCCCTTGCTATATCCCATTTGTTCTCTGTGGCCCACCGCATGAATTATAGGGGCTAATCCTTTATAGAAAGTTATATTTTGGATGAGTGATTTATGGCATTGAGCGCATCCCTTTGATCTATTCGCACTCGGATGATCAGTGGTCAATAAGAAAGGCATGGAGTGTGGGATACAGGTGACCTCTCAAGAACAACAATCAGAACTGGCTTTATGAAAGAGAAATTAATAGGTACTAGAATAGTGGTGGCGAACCTATGGCACGTGTGCCAGAGGTGGCACTCAGAGCCCTCTCTGTGGGCACGTGCGCCGTTGCCCCAGTCTCACCTCCTCCCACTGCTCCCTCACCAGCAGCCCCCCCCAGAGAGTCACCCCCAAGCGCGGTCTGCGTAGAGCAGCGCAGCCAAGGACATGGCAGCCAAGCAGCGGGGACAAGACTCCGCCCTCGCACCCTGTCACACACAGATGATGTGGGTGGGCGGGGTGCAGAGCGGGGGTGGGCAGAGAGGTGGGGGCGGGTTTTGGGCACTCGACCTCTAAAAGGTTTACCGTCACTGCACTAGAATGTGGGTTTCGTGAACAGACAACTAATACTTATTTACAGGGAGCGCTCAACTTCTCCACATCTTCCAATCTTGCACTACTTCTTTGAGTTGTTCTATTGTCTCAGTATATAGGTAGTCCCTGACTTACAAACAGTTCGTTTGGCGGCCGTTCAACGTTACAACAGCACTGAAAATTGACTCATGACTGTTTTTCACATTTACGACCTTTGCAGCATCCTCAGGGTCACATCATCAAAATTCAGATGCTTGGCGACTGACTCATATTTATGATGGTCGCCGTGTCCCGGGATCCTGTGATTCCCCTTTTGTGACCTTCTGACGAGCAAAGTCAACCAGGAAGCCAGATTAACCGTGTGACTAACTTAACAGTGGCAGTGTTTCACTTAACAACTGTGGCAAGAAAGGTCGTAAAAAGGAGAGGAAAAAAATCATTTAACAAACATCTCGCTTCGTTTCTGTCGAGGTTCTCATCTCCTTCCGTCTCTCCACTGTGAGAACCGATGAAGCCTCTTGGAGGAGAAGCGAAACATTTTCTTCCTCAAGGAAAATAAAACCCAGTCCAGTTGCCTTTTGAAAAAATCACCTTTGAGACAAACGTCTCGCTTAGCGACAGAATCTTTCAGCTCAATTGTGGTCGTAAGTCAAGGATTTACTCTACTGTACTTGCTGTTGATATGTATTTGCTTTGCTGTCCCCTCCAGGATAACTTGTCTAGATGTTTGGATTAGATCAGAAGCTGTCAGGGACTTTTGCAATTCCTGCAGCAAAATGAATTCCCGCCAATCCTGGCAGGACGATATGTCATGAATGGAACAAGGCAAATATTATAAACATGGTGTCAACAGACATCCCCTCGCGTCATTTTTAAGCTTTTGTCCACGCTGCTAACGTCGGATGTTCTTGCTTTGACAACATATGGAGATGCAGCCTTTTTCTTTCTCAGGCTTTACTCTTAGAATTAGATGATACTGGGGGAGGGGGAGGAATGTGATGGGAGTTAGTTAGACGTAACAATATTGTAATAGTGTGTGAATTCAGGACGTTTGTAATAAAGAGATGATAAGGCATGGCGGGATGAAGAACTGGGCGGAAAGCCTGCATTTCAAACAAATTGGAGAATGTGATTTATGACTGTTAGTTGTAGGAGGGAATTGTGCTTTGA